CTCGCATATATATAAATATATATATACACACTCTTATATATATATATATATATATATATATATATATATATGAAGAAATATAGTTTTAAGGTGTGCTATATTTATGGGATAAGGTGCTCAATATCAGAGGGTAGAGCGTATGTAATATAAATATAAAAGTGAATATTGAATTTATCACTCAGACGACAGGCTGTTTCATGCTGAACTCTGTCGTCAGCCTGACGATTGCGTCGAGCATGAAACAGCCTGTCGCCTCTGAGTGTTGACTTCAATGTTCACTTTTATATATATATATATATATATATATATATATATATATATATATATATATATATATATTAGCAATGATAACCACTGTTGCTCTGGGCAGGTTGCTTTTCTTTGCTCCTCAGTGCAACGCAGTCGTTTCTTTGCAAGGTTTACATATGTCGTAAAATTGTATTAGTGAAATTTCCGTAATTAAAAGTGTTCACAAAAAACAGGACTTATGTTGAAACGCCGACTCCTGTACGATCTCCGAAGTTAAGCAACGTGGAACATGGTCATTGCAGATGATAATGGCTCGCAATGAGAACTCGGTGAGCCAAGTTCGAATTCCAGTCTAGTTCGTTATATTCACTTACGTTTAAATACACTTGAGAAAGGCATGAATCCATCTCTTCTTTCCAACTATGGGTAAATAGAAGGACAGACATGCTTCTATAGCCCTGATTGGCAACCAGTCTTGGAGAAGGAAACCTATGAATCCAAACCAGCCTGGAAAGGTTTGACAAAGAACGGATCAGCTTCTTATTGGAACAAACGGCTAGGAGATGGAAAACTACTCTCCACTGCCAAAAAAGCCTGAAAATATAGCATTATTTATCATGTGGCACGTAGTTAACCAGTACAGGGCATGGTGATATGATGGAGACAGTGTACATTGCAGGGAACAGGCAACTGGACCCTTTAAAGAATTCACTGAACCCTCATCCGTAATCCATTATTGTGATTCGGGTTACGATAAGATATGTTAATATAAACTCAATAATAAGTTAGTTCATAGAGGCAATAACAATATTAATATATTTTATCGTAAACAATTACACAAAAATTCCAGACAGGATGAAATCTCTTTAAAGAACATTATTAAAAAATATGCATCACTCCTATTAAACAAACTAAAATATATCTATTTTAAAAATTCTAAACACACACAAACACACAGAGAGAGAGAGAGAGAGAGAGAGAGAGAGAATGCGTAGAAAAAAGAAAGCACTTGTTCGAACACAAGAAAAATTAAATAAAAAGCTTACTCATAAGACCCTGTCTGTCGTTTTTAATGAAACATGCATAAATGAAAATTGCTGCTTAAATACACAATATAGATAGATAGATAGATAGATAGATAGATAGATAGATAGATAGATAGATAGATGAGTTAAAGATCAAATATGGATCGGAATCCGACAGGATGATAAAATAAAGAACAAATAGGAAACATTTATCAGTTTAACGTGTTTCACTTTTATTAAAGCTTCGTCAAATAGAAAATAAACAAAAAGACAGATTGGATCATTTCTTACTGGTCAGACACGTGCCACGTGCATTAAAACCGTGTGTTTGTCTATTTGTTTTTTTTTTTTTTAATCTTCATCTTTGCGCGGTCAACTCTCACAGCGGGGAGTCACAGGTTTCTAGTTTATGGCTCGCCTGTTTAAGAATGTATTAAGTTAGATTCTTTAAGAATGGATTCAAAGAAGTCGATGCAATGTAACGTTTTAGGACTGTGTTTATTGTTGGTAATAATGTTATTAAGTTTTCAATATATTTTCTCTTTAAAGAATTATGTTCTTTTTTTTAATTAGAATGGCATTAGTTTAAATCAAGGTTATGTCCAGCATCGTCTCAATGCAAAACGAGAGAGTTAGATCGATTGTTCAAACGCAAGTCTCTCTTGTGTTCGTGAATGCGGGCTTTTAGATCACCTGATGTCTCACCCACATAGACATTTTTACATTGTAAACAATTCATTGATAAGTCCTGGTATTTAAATTGGTGTTGGGTTTATTTTTCTTCGTAATTATTTCTCCGGTTGTCTTGTAGGTGGTGGCAACATTAGGGATGACTAATTTGTTTGGAAGTTTAGTAGCAAGGGTGTTGGAGGGCAAGATTATTAATTTTGTGTAATTTTTGTTAGAAGTGTTATTGGTGGTGTCTGTTTCTGGCTTTGTGGATTTTGTAAGTTCGTTTTTTTAGCGTTGAGGATAAAATGATGTGGGTAAGGAGAAGTTCGAAAGTTTTCTCAGTATCTCTCTCTTCTTCATTTAGGTATTCTGGGATGCATATCCTAAGGGCTCTAAGTTGCGTGTGTGCATGAACAGAGAGAGAGAGAAATGGTACATTTATATATATTTTACCTGCGATGTATCTGATCACTTCAGTCGTGCAACCGACAGTCACTGTGCAGTGTAGATTCCTATGTCTATATCTACAAATGCTTTATCTCTGATACTGACGAGTGTATTTCTGGATGGAAACGCTTTTAAGACAAGTAGTTTTTTTGTGTATGACGTGTTCAGTATTAATAAATCCTGAATAGGTATTTGGGGAAACCAATTCTACCAATTCTCTTTAGTAATCAAGGAACGATAAATTATTTTAACTCTTCACGATATTCAGAGGCTCATTCCCACATTCCTACACAAAATGTTAAAATTTCTTATCGAAATAATATAATACAAATCGAATATTTTTAGATTATATTACGTCATGCAGTAACTTCCTTAAGGAGAAAACAAATTTAAAATAAGTTGACATAAATTATCGATTTTTATGTAACCTATTTTACTCAAGATAGGATATCCGCAAATATATTAAATTGAACTTTTTTACAGCATGACTGGTGGCTAACAACTGTCAAACTTGAAACGGGGAAGATGAGTTTTTACATATTTTATTCTACCTGCCTACTCTCTCTCTCTCCCTCTCTTTATATATATATATATATATATATATATATATACTATTTATATAGTATACTACTTATACTAGTGTATATACTATTTATATATATATATATATATATATATATATATATATATATATATATATATATATAAGAAAGAGGTTATAGTGCTTCCAACGAGAGAAAAGTGTGTATATTAAAAAGAAGAGAAGGGAGGTGCCGCAAACGTTTTTGGTTGTAATATGGATTTTTTTTAGAAAAAAATATTATGCTTTATTTTCCATAATTTTACTACACGTGTTTCTGGTCTCGTGACCGTCTTCAGGTAAAAGGCGGAGATTTCCGCATATTATTAAAAATAATTAATTTTTTTCTCTTAGTTTTTCAATGTTAAATATTCTCGATATGAGACATTGTCTGTTTTTGCGTTAGTAATCCGAATGTCCTTCTTGCATTGTCAGTGAAGAGTTCTGCACGAAGGGTCATAAAACAATTAAGGTTGGTCCAAGAGAAATGATGAATTACTTATCGTCATTTTATCTTTTAATGTTTTACTGACCCCTGTGTGTTCTTAGACCTGTTTCCATTTTCGTGTGTTTCTGTCAGCATGCTTGTATATATATGCGTGCGTTTATTCCCCCTCCATACATATACTGTCTTAGTACGAGGAATTAGTAAACACATTTGTACACATATACACATACGCATACACACACCGTCCCACCACAAGGAATCAGTACATACCCTCACATACATACACACACACATACTTCCCAAGTTACATGGAACCAATATACACATACACACACACACACATATACACATATATACATACTATTTACATTATTCGTTTCACCCGTTGTACGCTCCGGCCTTCTTCAGGTTGTTGGAATGTCGAACTGAACCCTTTATTTCGCTCACTGGGTTAGACTGTTCTAGTTCCACGTGTCATGTTTAATGGGTGTCAGTTGCCAGTCATCTTCTGTGTGGAGGATTTGGCGCCCCGCCTGTTATATTGCACGACACATGAATACCATGTCAGTAGTAACGTAAGGAAAGGATCTTTGGAAATCTCAAGTGAAAAAGTTATATAAGCAATCTATGATTTATTAGTAAGAATAGGAAAAAAGAAATTGGAAGTTCCTCTGATGAAACAGCTTAAGAGAATTTGGTGACCTCAACCAAGAAAAACGAGGCATAATATACGAACATTTCTTCAATAAAGAATTCAAGGAAATGCTTAGAACATTACAAATGGATAATGATTGATTTCTTATGGCTTATCAACCTAGTGCTGGGGAGAGAATTTCCGTGGCCCCGCTCCCGGTCGGAAAGGGAGACACTGGGACAAAAAAACTCGATTTAGCATGTCTAACAAGACTGTTTGTAAGCGTGTCTGTCTGGTAGGGTTGGGATATGTTAAATATCATTTTTCTGTTAAGGTCTTTATTTGTATTTTTTTGTGACAAATATTTATGCATGTCATTCTAATAATACGACACTTGACATTCCCCAAAACTTCGTAAGGTCCGCCCTCTCTTTCGGCATCAAGCACCGACTGTCGCCCAGCCTTGAACTCGCGGATACAGTTGTAAATTGTTGCGTGGGAATATCAGGTATCTCCATTAGCTTCTTGCAACTGCTGAACGAGAGAATTATTGTTTGTCTGATTCGTAATTTTGCTCTCCACTTTTTGTAAAGAAGCCCCTCCCTAAACTCCTAACGGTATTTTCTTGAGGCTCCTCGGGTTTTGAGGACCGGCATATTTGTGCCGGCTGCCTCAAACACCACCACCCCGCCGATCGTTGCTACTGCATCAACCTTTTTCATGTTATTCAACAAATATTTTGGAAGTGTAAGAATGTTTTGGAGATAATAATTATATTCTGATGCAAGTCATACTAATTAATCCATAGCTGGGGGGAGAAGAGGTGCATTTATATATTTATCAAGGGTATAAGTGAATTTATAAAGAAACCCGACTGGAATTGGAACTGGGCTCTCCGATTTCTCATTCCGAGGTTAAATTCATTACACCAACCGTGCGTCTATGCTTACAGCACATGACATTCCCAAGCAGTCACCCATCTAGGTACTGATCTGTCTCGGCGATGCTTATCGTCTGTGATCGGACGAGAAGCGCTGTTTGAGCGTGAAATGAGCGTAAGGTTTGCAAATGGATGAAAAATAATAAAGGTATCGAAATGTAAATTATGAACCATTAAAAAGTTTTTGATGTTAGACTCCGAAATAAACCAGAAAAGAACTGTTATATAAACTATTAGCAAGTTGGTTTGGCTAGATTTGAATTCAGAGTTGTCCTTATTTATTTCTTGGTATTGTAAACTTTATTTTAGTGAGTATAAGTATGTACGTAGACATCCCTGATTATTTACAGAGTGTGAAATTAACGTCTACCGGTCTAGATCATCGAAAGACATTAGATTTCCATCCATAAGAAAGAAAGAAAAAAAAAGATCAAAATTGAAGAATTAAGAACTAAGGAGGGAAAGAAAAGCAAAGAAGGAAAATAAAAGAATGAAAATAAAAAATAAGGAAAAAAAAATTATAAACGTAGAATATAAAGATAAAAAAAATGAAATAAGAAAATACATGAAAACTGAAAAAGAAAAAATGAAGATAAAAGAAGGAGAATAAAGAAAATAGAAAGAAGGAAAATAAAATTTAAAGAAGTAATCATAAAAGACAAAATAGGTGTAAATTGAAAAAGAAATTGGGGAGGAAAGAAAAAGTGTGGAAGAAAGAAAAAGTGGGTAGGAAAGAAAAAGTGATGAAAAAAAAAGAGGAGGAGGAAAGAAAGAAAGAAAATGGAGAGGAAAGAAAGAAAATGGAGAGGAAAGAAAAAAGTGGAGAAGAAAGAAAAAGTGGGGAAGAAAAGAAAAAGTGGTTAGAAAAGAAAAAGAGGAGGAGGAAAGAAAGAAAGTAAATGGAGAGGAAAGAAAAAAGTGGGGAAGAAAGAAAAAGACATCTTAGAAAGAAAAAGTGGTTAGAAAAGAAAAAGAGGAGGAGGAAAGAAAGAAAGAAAATGGAGAGTAAAAGAAAAAAGTGGGAAGAAAGAAAAGTGGGAAGAAAAGAATAAGTGGTGAGAAAAGAAAAAAGGAGGAGGAAAGAAAGAAAGAAAATGGAGAGGAAGAAAAAAAGTGGGGAAGAAAGAAAAGTGGGAAGAAAATGGTGAGAAAAGAAAAAAAAGAGGAGGAGGAAAGAAAGTGGGGAGGAAAGAAAAAAGTGGGGAAGAAAGAAAAAAGGAAAAAAAAAAAGAAAAGAGGAGGAGGAAAGAAAGAAAGAAAATGGAGAGGAAAGAAAAAGTGGGGATGAAAGAAAAGTGGGGGAAGAAAATTGGTGAGAAAAGAAAAAGGAGGAGGAAGGAAAGAAAAGGGGAGGAAAGAAAAAGTGGGGAAGAAAAGAAAAGGGGAAAGAAAAGAAAAGTGGTTAGAAAAGAAAAAGGGAGGAGGAAAAAGAAAGAAAAGAAAATGGAGAGGAAAGAAAAAAAGTGGGAAGAAAGAAAAAGTGGGAAGAAAAGAAAAAGTGGTTAGAAAAGAAAAAGAGGAGGAGGAAAGAAAGAAAGAAAATGGAGAGGAAAGAAAAAAGTGGGGAAGAAAGAAAAGTGGGGAAGAAAAGAAAAGTGGTTAGAAAAGAAAAGAGGAGGAGGAAAGAAAGAAAGAAAATGGAGAGGAAAGAAAAAAAGGGGAAGAAAGAAAAGTGGGGAAGAAAAGAAAAAGTGGTTAGAAAAGAAAAAGAGGAGGAGGAAAGAAAGAAAGAAAATGGAGAGGAAAGAAAAAAGTGGGGAAGAAAGAAAAAGTGGGGAAGAAAAGAAAAAGTGGTTAGAAAAGAAAAAGAGGAGGAGGAAAGAAAGAAAGAAAATGGAGAGGAAAGAAAAAAGTGGGGAAGAAAGAAAAAGTGGGGAAGAAAAGAAAAAGTGGTTAGAAAAGAAAAAGAGGAGGAGGAAAGAAAGAAAGAAAATGGAGAGGGAAGAAAAAAGTGGAGAAGAAAGAAAAAGTGGGGAAGAAAAGTGGTGAGAAAAGAAAAAGAGGAGGAGGAAAGAAAGTGGGGAGGAAAGAAAAAAGTGGGGAAGAAAGAAAAAGTGGGAAAGAAAAGAAAAAGTGGTTAGAAAAGAAAAAGAGGAGGAGGAAAGAAAGAAAGAAAATGGAGAGGAAAGAAAAAAGTGGGGAAGAAAGAAAAAGTGGGGAAGAAAAGAAAAAAAGTGGTTACAAAAGAAAAAAAGGAGGAGGAAAGAAAGAAAGAAAAATGGAGAGGAAAGAAAAAGTGGGAAGAAAGAAAAAAAGTGGCGAAGAAAAGAAAAAAAAAAGAAAAAGAAAAAGAGGAGGAGGAAAGAAAGAAAGAAAATGGAGAGGAAAAGAAAAAAGTGGGGAAGAAAGAAAAAGGGGGAAGAAAAAAAAAGTGGTTAGAAAAGAAAAAGAGGGGGAGGAAAGAAAAAAAAAAATGGAGAGGAAAGAAAAAAGGGGAAGAAAGAAAAAGGGGGAAGAAAAGAAAAAGTGGTTAGAAAAGAAAAAGAGGAGGAGGAAAGAAAGAAAGAAAATGGAGAGGAAAGAAAAAAGTGGGGAAGAAAGAAAAAGTGGGGAAGAAAAGTGGTGAGAAAAGAAAAAGAGGAGGAGGAAAGAAAGTGGGGAGGAAAGAAAAAAGTGGGGAAGAAAGAAAAAGTGGGAAAGAAAAGAAAAAGAGGAGGAGGAAAGAAAGAAAGTAGGGAGGAGAGGAAAAGTCCTGAGAAGAAAAAAAGAAAAGTGGAGATGTAAGAAATGAGGAGAGGGAAAGAAAAAGGGGTGGGGAGAAAAAATAGGGGTTTGGAAAGAAAAAAGTGGGAAGGAAAGAAAAAGAGGAAGAAAAGAAAAAAGTGGGAAGAAAAGAAAAAGAGGGAGGAAAGAAAAAAATGGAGAGGAAAGAAAAATAAAAAACAAAAATTAAAAAGGAAGAATGAATTAAACCAAAAGAAAATATATTAAAATTAAAAAAACAAAAAAACAATAATTCCCACTACTTCGCTGTCTTTTGAACAGGGGTAGACATTTATCCCTTATTTCCTGTTTAGGATTGTGTTTCCGGTTCCTTCACAAAGTTTGCTCATTCTCTTTCACTCTCTGAAACCCCCTTGCATCTTAGTGACATTTTACAGGAAAGTCATTCTTTACGCCTTCTCGGTCACACGTTCTCTACTGACATGAAGAGGAAGGACAATATTGAATCCATTGCTAGGTCAGCTGCTAAGAAAATCAGTTAACTATGTCGTGCGAGACAATTTTTCTCTCCAGAATCTATTTTACATATCTATAACTCTACCATTCGTCCATGCTTAGAATATCTAGGCCACATACGGTCCAGTGCCCTTGCTATTTACTTTACCTTCATGAGATCCAAAGATGAATCTGCAATATTATTGGTCCTGATCTGGCGGCTCAGCTCCAGCCACATTCCTACCGCTGTAAGGTTGCCTCTCTGCCTTTTCTATAAATAATTTCATGATAATTGTTCGAATGAGCTCTTCGCGAGGGGAATAAATTGCTGTTTTATTCCCCTTCCCCCACAGAAAATGAATTATACATATGGGACTTGTTAGGATTTTCATAGAGACAGTGAGGTATTATGGTGGTTGTAGTAAGAAAGATAAGTAAGAATGCGTTGTATTGGTGTTAGGAATATTGTGACATGTATGGTTCAGTGTTTGTGGCTAGCTAAGTTTAAATTTAAGACAGAAGAAGACCGTCCTTTTCCCCCCATTCCCCATCAGCATGGCTGATGCTAACCTCCAGGAAAGTGATTCGTTCCGTATTTCGGACTAACGTTCTCAGCTGACATGAAGTGGAAAGACTATATTGAATTCATTGCTAGGTCAGCTACTAAGAAAATTGGTTCGGTGTGTCGTGCGAGAAATTTTTTCTCTCCAGAATCTATCTTACATATCTATGAGTTTACTATTTGTCCATGCTGTGACGTAGCGTTCATCCAAAACCGAGCGTCCTTGTCGTTCCAAGTCGCCCAGTATTTATATTCTCACTTCCTCACCGGTCTCCCACCGGTAACCACTTCTAGTTTGCACCCGCCTTCCCCGTGGGCCTCTCTACACTACATGCCCCCCCCGCCTCCTATGACTACAAAGTGTATAAATTCTGGTCATTGTCGGGACGGTTCCGAGTAATTGTTCCTGCATTTGTGGGGATAATGATCGAGGTGGCCGTGAAAACATTGTGCTGCGTCGTAGATTATGACTTGCTGGCGGTTGCACGATTGGGGGTTGGTTTTTGTCCACTTCAATTTCTGTATAGTCCTCCACCCCTCGTCACCGTCTGTCTCATCTACTTCTATAATTTCCGGCGTGTTATATGTGTTAGACATTTTGACGGTCGTCTTCGAGTATAGAATCCAGAGGTTAGCAGTGAATATTTCGGAGACAGTAGGAAAGCGTAGTGCAGGTTCGCAGTGGATATCGCAGCAAAGTAGCAGAGCGTAGTTCTTCCTTCTGTCATCTTCGCCTGACAAGTTGGCACTGGTCATTCGGGTAGGGTCAACAAAAATGGCCGCCTTTATACACGACGGATACAATGTTCTGCGGCTTCTGATTGGCTAACCATCTATTGGTGGACTTTAAAGGGAGTTAAGTCATTTTGACTGGCTCACTAGTTATAACATATACACAAAAAACTGTAACAATATGAAGTTTGCACATCGGCATGTATTAGCCTTTCCTGGGACGGTTGTTGTATCGGATAGTGTGATGTGTCCATGACCGGTACTATTTTTCAAAGGAATCGATGATTGCGCAGTGTAATTCGATTGCTGCCGTCTATGCGCAGCCGGTAATCTCAGTTGCCCAGTGTTTCTACTACCCTCCCTGTCTTCGTCCACCGCCGTGGATATGGTTCATTTTGGCTTTGCACTTGCACCAATTCGCCAACCTGGAACTCTCGGAGCGGGTGTCTGTACGCGTTGTACTGCTTCTGGTTTAGTAGGTACTCGGATTGAGGAATCGGGGAGCCGAGTTCGAATTCCAGTCGAATCCATTACATTCACTTACGTGCTAATACCCTTGGGAAAAGTATGAATCCTCTTCTTCTCCCCCAAGCTATGGGTAAATAGCAGGACAGAACGAGTTCTATAGTCTTGGATGGCAACTGGTCTACCGCAGAAAGAAATG